CTGGACTTCATGCCCATGCTTAGACATCACCTAGGGTCCCCTAATTCTATATTGGTTCGTTGTTTTTAGGGGTTTTCCTAGAAAACGGGAAAATTTTGGAGCAGTGCATTCCTCATCTGCATACGTGGTCTCAGGCCACTCCTATTCTCCTGGGCTGCATGTCCAGGTGTAGCTCCTGGGCAAGCATCGGGAGGACAATGGCTAAATCACCAACCATTGATGGGCAATTAAAGAAGAACTCTTAACAATTAAGCTAATTTAACAACAACCAGTCTAACCGGTTTTAGCTCTGTAACCTTAAACAAAAATAGATAACTTTTTATTCATAACACATACCACTTGAGATCTGCCTAGGATTGGACATATGCCAAGGCTCTTCCCATTTTCAAGAGACCCTGAGTAGATCTAACCATCTGTTTAACTGGTACAATCCATTTTGGATATAATTTGGTTTGTGTGTGCTCTAAGGTATTTTCTTTTTTTCAGCTTGTCCTGGGCAACCCAAAAAATGTGTGTTGTGTTCCATTTTTCCTCCCCATCAATCCATGCAATTTGTGTTAATGTCTCTTTAAGACCTGGGGGCCAGACCTGGACCTGGAATGTTTTAACATGGAGGGGTACGTTCTGTCGGGGGGTGGGAGGTTCGAGGATTTCCTTTAAGAGACTGGGAACAGGTACACAGAGTCCTCTCTCTTTTCTTGCTCAGATGCCAGGGAAGTTGCCTGGCATAGGTCTCCAAGAAACTGCATTTTTTTTTTAATCCAAAACTATTTCAGGAGGAATTTCACAATACACAGCTGCAGTGCTGAGCTGGAGCCACTGGGGCCAGGGCTGTGGGTTTCGGTGCCCAGTGAGCTGGTTTTCTTTCTCCACAAAGCAGCAGTGCTCAAAACTGCAGTGACCAAACCAACTGGATCTGGCCAGCCAAAAAGAAGCAGAGGAGCTGACACTGCAGGTGTCAGCTGCCCCAGGCAGTGCCAGTCCCAGGGAACTGACACTTCAGGGGGAAGGCTGAGCCAAGTCGGGCTTCTCTGCCATCCTGTCTTTGTCCCCTGGGTCATATGATCTTCTTTGGAGACCGCCATTTTGGGATGGGGCTTCTCCTCTCCCTTGTTTTCTTTGTTCCTGGGGAGTCCATAGGATTCAGTACCTTTGTACCTTGTGATTATTACTGTTACCTAAGTTGTGGCTATTTTCTTTTTTAGTAAACTGTTATTTTTTTTACTTGCATGTTGTATTCCATTTTATTTAAATGGTATGCTCTGTCTCACCCCTCCAAAATGTATGGTACATTCTAAGCCTGTGGTCCTGCCCTGAACCCTCCTGTATCTGCAATCCCATTGGCCCAAATCTGATTCCGCGCCCACTTCAATTCCCCTCTTAAACTGTGCTAGGGGATCAGTCTGGCTCTTAGCCCTTCTTCTCTCTCAGCCTCTCCCCCTCCCCTCTTGCCCCCTCCCTCCCCCTTCCCCCCTTTTCCTCAGTAACTATGCTGTTCCCGGGGTTGGGACCCCAAATAAACCTTCATCTGCTCAGCACCCTCAGAAGCCGTGTGGAGTCTCCTTGCCTGCCTGCTGCTGCCAGCCAGCTCACAGCCTAGGGGACCCTCCGGGGACCTCCCCGGGGTGCCCCCACCTCAAAACACAGCGCAACACTTGCACCTTCTCCCATTTGTCTCTCCTTATTGGTGAAAGGTGAGCAGTTAGAACTAAAGGGGAGGTAGCTCATTTCTCAGGCTCCACCCCATAGTTTATCTTAAACTAAAACATGCTGTGCAGAATGTTGATTTAAAAATATGCATTGATTCACTTAATTAACTTGGTAGCAATTACATTTTTTTTCCTAGTTAATTTCTATTTGATTTGGCCATGTTTTTTTGCAGAAGAGCAAGAAGAGGAGGGAGGAATCTGATTTCTGCATGACCTGAGAGCAAGTGGCCATCATCCATGGACAGCTGTGGCAGCAAAGGGAGAAATCAGGAAGTGTACAGAACTCAGATGAAAGCTCAGTAGGTCTTTGCAATGCTTTGGGAGGTAAGATGAGGATCAGGAACTAAAACTGTGCACACCAGGGATAGGCACAAAGCACTGGCATTCTCCTGGTGCCAAAAGCAAGGTGGAAAAACAGCCTGTGAGGCCCATGAGGCTAACAGTGCCAAACTGCAAACTGGATAACGTGCCTTCTTTTTGTTTCCTCTTCCTGGCAGCATCCATACTGATTTTCAGGTATTTTCTTGTTATCTGAGTAACAGGTGAGATAGCACCTGCAGCAGTGTTAGACCTATATTTGCTCTACCCCTCTGCTGTCCTCTTCACAGACCTCACTCTCATTCCTCTCAGAAAGGGAGTAGGCAGTAAATGGTTACAGTGTGTGAGCCACTGGTCTGGTTAATGTTGCTGCCTGTGCTTGTGCTGTGAGCAAAGAGTAAAAAGAGGTTGAAGGCAGGTAGGAAGAAGCTTTGTCCGCAGACCCACTGCAGCCATGACCACAGCTATGATAGCACCCTTGCACTCTTTTTCCATGGAAAGTCTGAAGGAGGATCTGGGACCTTGAGGTAGGTAGTGTTATCCTTCTCTCTGTGCTTCTTATGGGTTGTGCATTTTACACCCTTTTGTTCTGTATTGATGCTGTGACAGCTTACTGTTTGTCAGTATCCTAGGCACAAAGAAGAGGATCTGGTAAGACTGAGTTTGTGCTTCATGGATGTCCTGGCTAAGAGTGGAGGCATGATGATAATCAGCAGTTTAAATGCTATATTTTAGACACTAGACAAGGTACTGAAAGCAATGAGTTGAGGTTTACCTTCAACTGAGCTCAGCATGCTTGGTATGTTTCTGTTAGAGTTCTTTTTCCTTTTTGCTTCTTCTATGAAGGAAAACTTATTAGACAGGGTTGGGGTTTTATCAGTACCACAAAGCAGACCTGTTAGCTAAAATGTTGCCAGACTAATGTGTTAAATATTAGTCATCTCTAAAGCATGTGTCTAAAACAGTAATCCTTCTGTTTTATTTGATAACTGTCAAAATGCCTACTGAAAAAGGGAAGTGTCAAAAGAAGGGTTAAAAATAAGGTACTGTGTCTACAGATAGAACTTTGCTATGGGTGGTTGTAAATCCTGTGAATGTCAGAGCTGGCTCGAGGAGGTAGGTGCTAGCTAGATACTGTGTAGTTGAGGAGCACATCCTGGATCAGACTGAGGGCTTGACCTTTTAGCCTTGATAATGTCAGAGATGTGGGGGTTTGTTGTCCTGTGGAAACACAGCAAAACTGGATAAATCCAGCAAAATTTTAAAACACCTTTTGCAAATTTGTGCAGATGGTTGCATTATCTTGAGATGATCCACAGCTCTCACCCCCCTCAGAAGGTACATGCCTTCTTCCCACAAAGTGACAGAGCCAATGCCTAGACTGGGAGATGGTTATGGGTATTTAGTGCCTTCTGCTAGTCCCAAGCTGGGAAGAATTGTCATCAGGGGAAATTTCTCTGTGTATACTGGTCTCCAATTTCTTGACATGGTGGCCTGCCAAAAGTTTCACAAAGAGGACCAGTATTGAGAAAATAAAACATGGAGAAAAGACCTTTTTGTTTCAGTTGATATCAGATGTGGGAGCCCAGGAGTCACAGATGTTCAACCAGGGACCTATAATGGTAAAGACAAAAAGCACAAACCCACAAAAGCAGGAATAGGCATGACTTGGTTCCCCTTTCTCTGGGAAACACAGTCTACAAGGACTTATTTATGGCCCAGAAGAGACAACTAGTGCTCGCATTGGTGATGGGCTCCCTCTGGTGCATCATCCCCATGGGGAACAATGCCCTTAGAGACCCAAGTATATGCACAGAAGACTGCCCCTGTGCCAAGTGGCAGAACTTGCTGGGGGGGCCCTGGGGAGCTGCCACAGAGTTCTTTCTAAACCCTGCACAGCACCATCCCTGGCCATCCCTTGCTGTTGAGCTGGACTGATTTAGAACAGTGTTGAGAGTTGGGAAAGATGGGCAGGGTAGACTGGTACGGCCATTTTGGGGCCCACCTAGGAAGTCTGGAAAGCTTCTTTCCCCAAGATGTAGGCCACAAAGGCCACTTTGTGGAGCATGAGCAGCAGTACCTGGCCAAAATGGCCCAAAGAAGCCCTGACAACAGGCCATTGCTCAGTGCTGCAGAAGAAGGTAAAAAAACACCTGAGGACACTTTACAATCCACCATGGGAAAAAAAAAAAAACAAAAACAAAAACAAAAAACAAAAAACAAAACAAAACAAACAAACAAAAAAAACCAACAACAACAAAAAAAAATAAACAAAAAAAACAAAACAAAAAAAACACATTCTCTCCCAAGCTGCAGGGCATGACAGGCCATCTTCATGGGGCATGAGCAGCAGGCAGCATCTCAGACAAAAGAGACTGAAGAAGCCCTAAGCAGTGGTCATGCTCAGTGCAGCAGAGGAAGGTAAAATAACCTCAGGTACCATCATCAACCTGTCCCAGGAGAAAAATTCCTTCCTGACCTCAGTGCTGGCGACCAGCTATTCCCTGAGCACTTGAGTGAGATCTTTCATCTCCTTGTCACATAGGGTGGTAAACCACTCAGGAGAAGTCCAAGACATATTCTGACTCAAGATCTCAGGGGCTTGTGAGAGTAACCACATGCCCCCAGCCTAATGGCTCTTGGAGACAACATTCCTTTCCGTGTCTGGCAGGACACCAGTGGGTGCTCCAAAGCAATGGAATCCCTTGCAACATCTCTGCACCCTATATCTTACAGCTGCTGCCCCATCTCTGCAGTGCATGAGAACAGAAAGCACTGTAGTGGTCTTTCTGAAGGGATCCTCTTGGTCTTGCCAGTGCTCTCCAGCAGATAAAGGCCTGAGACCCTTGGGTACCTCCTCATGCTCTAGATCTTTGCACTGCCAGCAGCCCCATTCAGTCACCTATTCCCTTCCCTTCCCTTCCCTTCCCTTCCCTGCCCTTCCCTTCCCCCCACATCCTATTACTCCAAGTCTTGTCTCTAGCTCTTGTGGCCCCGCTCATTTTCTGTGCCTCCCTGACAGCCTTCCGAGGAGCGAGGGTGCCCTGGCTGACGTCGAGAAAGCAAAGCAGAAAGTGACAGTGGACAGGTGGACAGGGAGGAGAACTGGGTGCAGGTTCAGGAGAACCGTGGTTCTTCTGATAAGCCTGCTGTCCCTGCTGCCTGCTCCACCCGCAGCTGCAGCGGGATTTGTTGCAGGTGAAGATGCCGCGGATATGGCCTTGCGGCTCCGGAGGCCAATGGCCGTGCCCAAAAGTAGGCAGTTGCCATGCACAGTGGGATGTGAGGGGAGAGGGAAAAGACACCAGGAGAAGGGGGAGAAAGCAAGCCACAGAGACTGTGTCAAACAAACTATTTATTTCCTTTTTCTATTATCAAGGGTTCTTGGCTTGTGCCGCCGGCGGCGGGACGGCCTCTTCGGGGGCTGGGGAGAGTCCTGAGGGCTAGAGGTCCTCCTCTTTGCTGGGCGCCGGAGCCCCTCGGGCAAGCAGTCCCTGTCCCGGCCAGCAGCGGAAGTGCTGCAGTTGTAGCCCTGGGCAGAGGGGCCTGCTATTGCTGCTGCCCGGCTGCCGGGCTCCTCCGGGGGCTGCTCCCGCTCTGCAGGGACTGGCGCGGATGGAGAGCGCCCGGGCCCCCCGCGGAGGGTGGCTTCCAACGTTCCAACGTCCACTTCCACACTGGAGACTACAGGGCTGCAGGAGGAGGCCAGGGTGGGAGGGCGAGTCCCCTGGGGGGATGCAGAGGGGCCAGGGATAGCTGTGGGACCCTCCTGCTCCTCCTCCTCCTCCTCCTCCTCCTCCGCATGGGAGTTCCTGAGGTTCATCTGCCGCAGGATCTCATCACTGCACCTGTCAGCCGCAACATCGATGAGCCGGCGCACAAATGCCACCGTCTGCTCCTGCAGCAGGGGGTGCAGCTCCCGGACCAAGGCCTCCTCACTCAGCCCATAGCGGCACAAATTTGCTATGATGGCACTCTGTGCCAGTGCCACCTCCCACCAGCGTGTCCTGAGCAGCTCCAACAGCTCCTGGTTCAGCCAGGGCAGCAAGGGCTCGAGGATTTCTGAGCAGTCCTGGAAAAAATCTGCCCAGACCTGAGGTGGGAAGCCAGCTACATAAGCCCTGGGCATCAGCTCTGCAGCCCCCTGCTCATCCTGGTGGTGAGCAGTGGATGAGTCCGAGGGGCTTGGAAGAACTATCTCCAGAAAGTCTTCCTCTGACCGAACAGAGTAAATGATGCTGTTGATAGCCTGCCTGCACAGGGGGCATGATGGTTTCCTCTTGGCCCACCGCACAATGCAGCCCAGGCAGAACAGGTGGACACAGGGTGTTACAGAAGCGATTTCACCTGGAATGTCACGGCAGATGGGGCAGTTCCACTCTGTCTCCGTGGCCATGTTTGCATGTTGCAGCAGAGCTGGGGACAGCAGCTGCTCTCTCTTGTTGGCGTGACACTGAAAAATGGTCGCTTGCTGTCCCAGGGAGATGGGCAGGTAGAAGAAATGCCCAGGCCCCTCAAGAAGAACACACTCACAGCTCCCCAAACACCATCACCCACCCCAGGGCCACCCTGTAGCTATGTTTCCTGTGCCGCTCACCTGTGCTGCTGCAAGCACCACACACAGTACTCAGCTTCCTGAACCAGGTAGGGCTGAGGAAACAAAGTCTTGTGAATGAGAACTGAGAGTTGCTGACAGCAGCACCCAATGACCTCACAGGCTTCCACTCCTCCCAAGCGTGCTTGCCAGGAGTCCAGGCACGAGTGAGTCTGAGACAGGCTCTGCCCATGCCCAAACATAAGCAGTGAGGGATGTGACATCACAGTGCATTGCTCACTCAGGTTGCCATCCATGGAGTCTGTGGACTGCTGATGTTACAGTCGGCTGTTCTGTACTGGCAACCTTGACTGCCTTCCAAATCTGCCATAGCAGACCTTTCTCCCCTGCAGGTACATGGCATCAGGAGAAAAAATGGGTGTGTGGGCCATGCTGTGCCATTATTTGTTCGTGCCTCTGACTTTTACAATCATTTTAAGTCTTAGTCCAAGTGCTTCTCCTTTAGAAGCATGTTACCTGCTAGTTTTACGTTTTTGTGATGAGAGGGTGCTGTGTACATCAGGCACATGGGCTGGCCTATTTAAATCTGGTGAGATGACAGCCCATATTCTCTGTTCTCAATGCTGCTTGCCTGCACCACTCCGAGAGGTAAGGACATCCTGACATTTCATGCCAGTGTCTGTGCAAACTTCTTGCCACGCTGTTTTTTAATTTAGATTTTTTTTCTTTTCTACAACCCCATTGGATTGGGGTTGACGGGCACAATGGTGTGGTCATTAGCTCAATGACCATTAAAACCCTCTGTTCCTCTCATCCCATTCAAAAATAAAGTTGAAAATTGATAGATAACTGAAAAATAAGCATCAAGCACAATTTTGGGCAAACCAGTCAAAAATGTGGAGAAAATCTATACTTCACTGAGTTTTAATCTCTCTCCCTTGTGGTAGGGCTTGCCACAGATTGGGCTACCCAAGCAAGGGCAGGTCTGCCTGTTCTTTCTTTGCTTCCCAAGCTGCTTTGCTTGCAGCTTTCAGGGAGCTGTAAATCACTCCAGCCAGGCTTGCAGCTGGGCATTTTCCTTCTCCTTAGGATGTTTTACTAAAACTACTGGAAAGTTATCAAGTGAGTTACAGCTTGAAACCAGCCTGGTAGAGAAGAGGATTTTTAGAGGATTTTTCCTGCCTCATCTTCTCAGGAATATCTTCTAGTGAAAAAGTCCTAGGCACATCACAGGATCATCCCTACCACCTTGAACCCTAAAAATACATAACCTCTGTAGTATTGCATTTTATTTAAATGGTATGCCCTGTCTCACCCCTCCAAAATGTATGGTATATCCTAAGCCTGTGGTCCTACCCTGAACCATCATGTACCTGTAATCCCATTGGCCCAAGTCTGATTCCACTCGTAAACTGTGCCAGTGAAATCAGTCCCTCTCTTAGCCTTTTCCCCTCTTCTTAGCCCTTCTGCTCTCCTAGCCTTCCCCTTCTCTTGCCCCTTCCCTCCCCTAGGCTCCCCCTCCTTCCCCCTTCCCCCCCAGTAACCATGCTGTTCCCAGGGATGGGACCCCCAATAAACTCCCATCTAATCAGCACCCTCAGAAGCCGTGTGGAGTCTCCTTGCCTGCCTGCTGCTGCCAGCCACAAATCGAACCACAACAAACCTCAATCAGTGCCAGCTGAACAGGAGTTTAGTTCATGTTCGGTGTGAAGTAAAACTTCTAAAAGCCAAGTTCCTGCTGCTTTGATGAATGAGCCCAGTATCCAGGGTTCTCTGTTGGAGGAAGGCAGATGTGTGTGTCAGTCTGAGCTTTTTCTTGTCTCTTTCCCTGCACTGACCCCCTTCAGTGGTGAGGGCAGCACCAAATTCTCACCTCGCCCCTCCCTGTGCCCAGCCTGTTGTCATTTTTAAGGGCAGGATCTTCTAAAGATCCCTTGAAGAGTTTTGGTTTATTATGAGAAGGAAAGAGTAAAAAAAAACCAACCAATGATCTATCTCTTTGGATAAGACTTACCTGAGCATCCTTGGAGACTCTATCTGTTGTGCCACTGGCACTTGGCCTGGCTGACCCTGGGTTGTCCTGTCCAGCTGTCTCTGGCTAACAAGCAGGATGGGATGTGGTTCTCTAAGGAGATTTGTGTTTCCATGGGGTCCATTAATTCCAGAGTTCATTTTCAGGATGGCAAATCAGTAGCACCTGGGTCAAGAAGGAATCTTCCCCCAGGGCATATTGGCATTGGTTCCCAGGGAGTTTTGACTTCCTCTGCAGCACTGAGCATGATCACTGTTCACTGCTGCTTCAGTCCCTTTTGGCTCGGTTGCTGCCTGCTGCTCATGCCCCATGAAGATGGCCTGTCATGCCCTGCAGCTGTGGGCAAGAAACTTTCCAGAATCCCAGGGTGGGCCCCAAGGGTGGCCTGGGGATTGCTTCTTGTCCTCCTGTAGCACTGGCACAGCCCCCTGTCAGGGCTCCTCTGGGCCCCTACGACTCCATTCTTGCCTGCTGCCCTCACACATCCAAGGCATCACTTGTGCCCCGGCTCTCTCTGGCTCTTTTGCCCATTGCAAGCTTGGAGTGGGACTGAGCTCTGCTCTTCCCTTGGCTCCATTTCCTGTGGGATTCTTGCATCCATCCAGAGATGCCACTTCTCAGTTCTCCTGCCTGCAAGCACAGGACAAACACAAGAGTTCTTGTCATGCATTCTTGGCCTGGGAGCACAGGAATGAAGCAAATCTTGGAAGGCAAAAAGTGTGTTTGTCATTGATATGCGTTACACTTTGGAATATGCCCAAGATAGTACACACCTCTTGTGTTGTTGCTTCTGATTCTCATTCTTCATGTTCTGAACTTTCAGGAAACAGGATCTGCTGGGCCTGTATGCCTGCTGCTACATTCTGTAACTCTGTCACTTGCCTTTGCCATACTACAGAGGATTTTTCAAGCTAAACTGAAGAACATAGTCTGCTCCTGGCTACATGTGCACATTGTGGTAATGGTTGTGAGCATCAGCTCTGAAACTGATTCAGACAAAAAAAAAATTAAAATAATATCCTATTTCCAGTTGTAACCTGTGTGTCATGTGTTCGTGAATGTGTTTTTGGATCAGAAACTCCTTGGAACTTCACACAAATAACAGTCTCACCATTGTTTGACTCATGGTGAATGCAGCCAATAGAATAGAACAGAGCAGTTATGCCATGTTAAACCCAGAGCTCTGCATGACAAGGTCTGACCAGGTCTGAGGGCTCCACCCCAGAAAGCAGCTCTGCAGTGCAGGTCCCAGGCCCACCCAGGAGACAGAGGCAGAGATGGGCACACCCACAGCAGGGCTCAGGCAGGGACTGAAGGTCCCAGGCAGAGGTGGGACACGTCCCCTGGGCCCTTGGCAGGAGGTGGTGGGGCTGGGCATCCCAGGGCAGGCCAGTCCCAGCCACTGAGGCCTGTGAGCACCACCAGGACCCTGTCAGGACTAGACTTCAGTGCTCTTCTTCAGACACTGGTGGTTGGACACTTTGGAGACAGAGTACTGGGCCAGATGGACCTTCCCTCTGAGGGAGTGCTGCTGCCCTCAGGCTCTTGTGTTTTAGCATGTTCTTCCATAGAATACAGACCAGACATTTCAAAAATGAGTACAAGGAGAAAAAAAGAATATTAATGGGGAAATTAATAGGTGTTGCTCACCTCCAAGGGGTTTGCAACCATTTAGATGAGAAGCACATCCTACACCAGACTGAAGGCTTGACCTTTGAGCCTTGCTAGTGTCAGTGATGTGGGGGTTTACCATCCTGTAAAAACCTATCTCAGTTGAACACTGATGAGTTTAAAAAAACCACTTGCCTTTTGCAAATTTGTGCAGATGGTCCCTTTATTTTGAGATGATCCACAGCCCTGACCCCTTTCAGAAGATACACACCTCCTTCCCACAAGGTGACAGAGGCAGTGCCTAGGCTGGGAGATGGGTATGGGTATTCAGTGCCTTCTGCTAGTGCAGGACTGGGAAGAATTGTCTTCAGAGATTTCCCCAGTGTGTACTGGTAGGGAAAGATGAGACACAGAAAAGAAGGAGGAAGAGAAAATGGAAAGGGAAGGGAAGGGAAGGGAAGGGAAGGGAAGGGAAGGGAAGGGAAGGGAAGGGAAGGGGTGTTGTTTTGTTTTTTGTTTTTTAATGGCCCCTGCTCATGTGAAAAATTATGTTGTTTCATGTACTTATTGGAAAAACAGAGATAAAGCAGTGAGGCAGTCTGTTGTACATCATCCAGGCTGTCTGCTCTGAATGTTTGACACTCCTGAAAAGTTAACCCCCATAATTTCTGAGGCAGAATTCTCTACTTTAGGTCTGGGGTTATGGTATCATCTTCCCAGGCAGTTTCAAGTTGAGAAAAATGTTAGCTTTTACCCCAAAGTTTGAGTGGGCAATGGCATGGATGATCTTAGCTTACTTTTAGAGTTAACAGCTGCCCCAAGAGCAGCAGCTATGAGGGCACTTGGAGGATGACAGATTTCTTGCAGTAGAAGCAGTGTGAATTCAGTTTCTTGTTTTATCTTCTTTGGTATGCTGACCTCTAGGGAAACTTTTTTGCAAAACAGTTTGCCAGAGCATTTGTGTAGGGAGCTATAGTGGCTTCAATCAAGTCACAGACCTTTTCCTAGGGACCAGGCATTTGGTGTCAAATCCAAAGTAGGCCCCCACATGAAGCTGCTCCCTAAGGTGGTTCCAGAATGCTTGTGTGAGTAGAGGTCTTGGTACACTTAAGCAGGGCTCAGTCAGCAGAGGAAATGCATACTGAGTTAAGAAACAAGGTGATTGTTCTGAATATTTGTGAACTTGGCAGTTAAAAATCTGGAAAGTCCTCTGTGCTCTGAGTTTTTTCAGGGCTGCATACACCTTTCCATCCATGGCTAAAACTGCTTCAGCAATGGATCAAATTGCTAAACAATTCATCCACTTAAATTCTAGCCTGATGGCTTTGGGAAGCACAAATAGATTTCTTTCACAAAGGAACTGGGGTGAGTGGCAACAGTCTCTCATCAACAGGCAATTAACCTGTTTCAAAAGAGACTGGGCTTAAAAGCCAAAAAGCTTTGATCGACTATTTGTTTGTAACTGCCTGCACTAACTCTGTCTCTTAGGGCAAATAGTCCTTCCTTCTAGGTCTTTATCTCCTTTCATAGAATCACAGAGTGGCCTGGCTTGGAAGGAAACTTAAAGATCATGGAGTTCCAGCCTGCCCCCCATGGGCAGGGACACCTTTCCTAGCCTCTAACTAAGTTCATAGAACGCTGTGATTTCCTGTCTTAGCTATGCTAGACAAGTCACGCTCTGCCAGTCTCCTCTGAAACTGAAATTTCGGTTCACTGATGATCTTCATAGCTTTTTCTGCTCCTGTTGTGAATTCATTTTTCTATGAATAAGATTGATCACAACAGACAGAGACTCAGTGGTCTAATGGTGACTTAAAGACAGCATTAATCTTTCTCAGCTCTTCAAGTGCATGGATTGTATTTGACATTTCACTGGTAAGTCCACTTGTGTCCCGACCAGCCAAAACAAAGGTCTTTATCCTTCTCTGGTTTTTTTCAACAGCTGAGTTCCCAGATCATTGCAACATTCTTCTTGTTGAGAAGAACAAACATGGATATAGTTAATCTAGTCAGCTTTTCCACAGGGCCTTGGGAAACATGAATTATTGCACTCTAGTCAATAAACAATCTTAGGACAAAATACAAATACAGTTGCAGCAAAGAAGTAGCAGAGGTAGTAACAAAAACTACAGACTACACAAGACAGTGTATGTAGACACCAGACTGTTTTTCTAAAATGGTTAGAAGACATATGAAAGCATACAGTACGTCAGAGAGTAAAAATGTCTTCTAAGACTTCCATATTTATCTAAAAAAACCCAACTAAACAACAGAAAAAAACCCAAACCAAACCAAACCAAAAAAACCAAGCTAGAAATTTGAATTCCTCTGTGGCTTGGGAGAAATTGTTCTTTTAGGATAAAAACCAGATTGATGCTGTAAGATTGAAAACAAAATTTCAAAGAACTCTAGGTACATGTTACTGCTTGGGAGAAAGAGAAAACCAGACACCTTCCCCTCTCAAAAAACCCCAAACAAACAAAACAAACAAACAAAACAAAACAAAAAAAAAAAAAAAAAAAAAAAAAAACCAAGCCCAACCAACCAAAACCATCCTTAAGAAAAAATGCTTACCAAGTCAACAAACAAGCCCTGAGGTATTCTGCTGAAAAAGATCTTCAAACTGCTGAAGACTTTATCTATCTCCTTTTATCTTGATGGATTGACAGTTTGTTCTGCATCAGAATATTGCTAAGGACTTATTATACATGGTGGCACAGACAGGACACAGAAACATTTTTAATAAAGAAGAAAGTACAACAAAAACCTTAACAAAAAAAGAAGTGGCACCATTGTCTGTGAGATGTAGCACAGCCTCCTCCTTACCCATGACCAGCATCTATTTGTACCAATTTTGTTACACTAAAGATGGTGAACAGGTGGGAACAGAACAGAACAGTCAGAACAGACTTATGTGCTTAATGTGCAGATAGAACAAAATAATTGAATGAAAAACAGAATATAAATTGAGGTTTTGTTTTTTTGGTTTTTTTTCCTTAAATAAAGTTAAATTACCTAAGTGTTAGTTCAAGTTTCCTCCAAGGGATGCTTGATAAGGAAGTGCTTTTCCAAAGGCTCAGTTTCTAGAGCTGGTATGAAAATACTTTTGGAGATGATATTATTTTGGCTGCAACTGTCCAGGTGTGTTTTTCTCTAGTGTTTACCACTGTTTTCACCTGCTGACCATATAGTAATACCTTGCAAGGTATGAGATCCCTGCAACCAACATTCCTGTGGCACAAAGTTTCAGTTTGTTGTGGAACAACCATCTTTAGAGAGTACTGGTTCTCGCACCACTGCAGGTGCCACTGCTAAAACCTAATCTGGAACTGCTCTCCCTACCATTTGCTGTTCCACACTAAGACTTGTGGAAATAAGCTGTAATGCATCTTGAATTTTCTGGCTCTTTGTGAATCCAGCAATTTGCACTACGACATCAATGTCTTCAATGCTTCTGAAGGATTTTATTCTCTGTAAGGAATCTGTTCCAGGTCTGCTTTGTCATGTCAGAAATCTATGGATAGGTTTCCACTGTCAAATCCTATGCTGCCATCACCTGTCAGCTGACAGCTGACATGATTGCTGTTGGCACATCCCCCTACAACCTGGTGTCGCTCATTTCCAGGCAGAGCAAACTTGCTGTCATTAGCAGCTTAGCTTCTAGTTAAGCTTCTCTGACAAGTCATGAGGCTTGCTCCAGGTGCAGAAACACCAGCACTCTACTGCTAATGACACAACTCTTTCAAATAAGATATCCCTCATCCAGAAATGCCAGGTAATACTTGGGAATAAATTACAAATTGCATCCTGTGTTGCTTTGTCCAGATCAACCCTGTGTAATTATCCACAGTTTCTACAGCTGCTCTGTCATGTAGGGTTGCTGGCTTTCTGGGTTTTGTTTTTGGGTTTTTTTGCCAATGTGCTAGAGGCCTGATGGCACACTGGCTTTGCTGAGTGTGCTGCAACAGTCCTGGAGAACCTCTTCATAGTTGCTGAATATTCACATACAAGGTAAGCAGAAAAGGATATCAGCAAAGCTGAGAGCAGTTTCCAGACCACTATGGAAAGATAAGCTATTCCCCAACAGCAGGGAGATGCACAATATTTTCACAAGGCACGGCATGCTGATAAAAACCTGCATTTTCACAAAGTATGAATGCAGTCACTACCTAGTTTAGAGTAATCCTTCTTGGACAGGGACCTTCTCTCCTGAAATGGCAGGTGGGCCAGCACATCAGGCTTTTTCCTTCACCATCCTATGGCACATCGTTAGAAAATAGAAAACAAGCAACTTGGTTGTTCTCCAAGTAATTCACACCTTAAGAGGAAGCCTGAGGGAAAGTGCAGATGCCTCTGTGTGTGTGTGTGTACAACTAGAG